CTAGGCTAATGAAGACCAGCTTTCTGCTGAGTCATGGTTTCTCCAGGCAGCGAAAGCCTACAGAAGTCGTCTTTTTCCATGATAACATCAACTTTTTAACCCTATAATGCCAAATGTATCATATTTGATCATTCCCCATTTGATCTCCCCAACTCCCGTGTGGCCTTTGACCTTTTTCTGCTTTTCAGTAGTAACCTGCTTCACACATCACGTGACCAAACCCGGAAATTCACACATGAGCAAACCTTTAAAAGTGAGCTCTGACACAGGTGGACACGCACGCGCATGTGCACGAGCCCTCCCCTCCCCTTTCCCAACCAATCACAACCCAAATCCAAACCTCGTCTCTTTCTTTATAAACCGCGCGCGGAGCCGCACGCGGAACCGCCGCGGAGGCGCTCAAGTGTCGCTGGTCTGCTCACGCACGCACGCACGCTCGCGCACGCGCATCTGCAGTGGGAATAAAAGGAGCAGCGCGCGCGGGCTCTGCGCGACACCTGGAGACCGGAACCCGCTCCATCCTCCTCTCCTCTCCTCTTTTAAACTCTTTTTTCCGTGGGTTTTTTTTCCTGCCGCGCACGCGCAAGCTTCGGACCGGTGCGCACGCGCCTTGGAGGACCGGGAGAGGCGCGTGCACGCGCAAAGGGATCCGGATGGTTCCGTCCCGCGTGCCTGAACTTCCTTTGGGTCCAAAACTCCGGGATCTCCTCTCCTCTTTTAAACTCTTTTCTCCGTGTTTTTTTCCGGCCACGCACGCGCGCGCGGGCTGAAGCTTCGGACCGGTGCGCGCGCGCCTTGGAGGGACCGGGAGAGGCGCGCGCACGCGCATGCACAGGGGATCCGGATGGTTCCGTCCCGCGTGGCTGAACTTCCTTTGGGTCCAAAACTCCGGGGATGATCGTGCCCAACGCGAGCCTGGGGTGCGCGCGCTGCCACGCGCACGCGCACGCGGACGCGACCTCGGACGCGTTCCAGGAGGCGTCCGGCTCCGTCCCGCCGCCCACCCTCACGCGCACGGGCCACGTGGTGGTGGCCGCGTGCCTGGGCTTCATCGGCACGTTCGGGTTCCTCAGCAACCTGCTCGTGCTCGCGCTCTTCTGCCGCTTCCGCGCGCTGCGCACGCCCGTGAACCTGCTGCTGGTCAGCATCTCGGCCAGCGACCTGCTGGTCAGCGTGCTCGGGACCCCCTTCAGCTTCGCGGCCAGCGCGCGCGGCCGCTGGCTCATCGGGCGCGCGGGCTGCGTGTGGTACGGGTTCGTGAACGCGTGTCTGGGTAAGAGGCGCGCGCCAAGGAGAGGCGTCTGCATGCTTGCATCTGTTTCCTCTGATCCGGCTTGTGTTTGTGTTTTTTCTCCTTAGTTTTTAGTCCTTTGTAGCAGAGAAACAACCAAAAATGAGTGGAAAAGCTTGTAAAAAAAACAACAAAAATAAGTAAAAGAAGCAGAAAACAACACAAAAACACGGAGAGGCGTTTGCATGCTTCCTCTGTTTCCTCCAAAGTGTGTTTTGTGTGTGTTTTCCTGCCCAATTCCTCAGTTTTTAGTCATTTAAATCCTAAAAGTGTAATCTGTGTAGTGATGGAATACAGGAGAATATCTACATACGAATCTAATATGCAGAAAAACAACCAAAAATAAGTGGGGAAAAAAAAAAAGTAAAAGAAGCAGCAAAACAATGAAAAATAAGTAAAAGAGACAAAAAAAACAACCAAAATAAGTGGAAAAGGCAGCAAAAAACAACCAAAAATAAGTAAAAGAAGGGAAAAGACAACAAAAAAAGTAAAAGAAGCAGAAAACAACCAAAAATAAGTAAATGAATGGAAAAAAACAACCAAAAATAAGTCGAACACAGCAAAAAAAGGCAAAAAGAAGTAAAAGAAGCAGAAAAACAAGCTAAAATAGGTGGAAAAGCTAATAAAAAAACAAAAAAAATAAGTAAAATAAGCAGCAAAACAATGAAAAATAAGTGGAAACAGCAGAACCTCTACTGACCGACTCCCTATGTTAAAATATTCATATGTTGGTTCAAATCTTCCATCAGAATACACTGTAATTCCTAGAATTTGTTCCAAAAACCTACGATAACTCCTTAATAAATACTGCAGATAATTACACATAGCAGTAAAACAAATGACTTATAAAAGAGAGATGGAAAAAGAAATAAATGATAAAGAAATAATCAATAAAAAGGGTTTTTATTTGCAGGTAAAGACTGAAATACAGGACCAACCCTAACTTACTCTGACTTTAAACTAACTTATCTTATTTATTTTGATTAAATAGATATATTTGACATTTTTTTCTGTGACTTTGACGTCATACATAGCATGTTGGATATTTACTTTGGGTGTGGAGTCAAATATTTGATCAGTTTTCCCTTCGGATGTACGAAAATGCGTCTGTTTAGGGATCGTAACTAGAGGTTCTGCTTCAGATAGATAGATAGATAGATAGATAGATAGATAGATAGATAGATAGATAGATAGATAGATAGATAGATAGATAGATAGATAGATAGATAGAAATTATACATTATAAGAGGATGGATGGATGGGAAATGATCAATAAAAAGGGTTTTTATTGGCAGATAGATAGATAGATAGATAGATAGATAGATAGATAGATAGATAGA